CATGTGATGGATTTATGGGTGTGGGGATAAGATCATGAACTTTCAACTGGGTGGAATCCCAGGAAGCTTTTAGATTTGGGATTCCAGTGTTTGTGCCAACGTGTCTGTCTTATTAAATTGGAACTTTTAAGGATAGCTCTGCCTCGGACTCTGATTTAATTCTGCATGATATTTGGAACGCTGACAGCTATATTAACAAGACTACCAAACCAAGGAATGCTTTTAGGAGAGACTTCAATGAGGAATCTTAAGCAATACTTGTGCATTGCCTGAACAGACACTTGCTAATGTGAATTAGCTCCCCCCCCCCCCCCCCAACATCTTCTTAAAACCTTTTTTGGCACAGAAAATACAGTGGCAAATTTTTTCCCCTTTGGAAATAGGTGGGTTTTTTTTTTTTACTTCTAATCTTCACAAGGTGGCTCCAGTGAGCTTTTGAAACCTCACAACAGGAGCAGCTAGAGCAGCCCAGCCTTACCTGAGCCGGTTCTCCCCACAATTCCAATCTTCTCCTTGGGTTTGATGGTGAAGCATACTTTTTTGAGCACAAGCGGAAGGTTCTCGCGATACCGCATTTCTGCATTTTCAAAGCGGATTTCTCCTTCGTGGGGCCAGTCCGGAAGGGGAGCCTTATTCTTGATGCGAGCAGGGGCCTCCAGGGAGAGAGTCTTGGAATCACAGAGAGAGAAGAGAAAAGGCGTCAACTACAGACAGCATTCTAGGAATGATTAACAGAATGGCAGAGTTGTGAGAGGACCCCCAGAGGTCTTCTAGTCCAACTCCCCGCTCAGCAGGAAACCCTATATTCCTTTCAGACAAAAGGTTGCACAATCGCTTCTTAAAAACCTCCAGTAATGGAGCATCCACAAATTCTGGTGGCAAGCTGTTCCACTGATAAATTGTTTTATCTGTTAGGAAATTTCTCCTTAGTTCTAGGTTACTTTTCTCCTTGATTAGTTTCCACCCATTGCTTCTTGTTGTTCTGTTCAAGTGCTTTGGAGAATAAGTTGGCCCCCTCTTCTTTGNTAGGTAGGTAGTTAATTAGCAGATTCTTATTTCTGTCCCCTCCTCCTCCTCCTCTTCCAACCTGTGGAAATTACAGAAAGTCCTCAAAGTACGACCACAGTCGGGACTTGCAACTCCAATGGCTAAGCGATTCAGTCATTAAGTGAGTCGTGCCTCTTTTACAATCTTTTCCCCATGATCATTAAGCAAATCATGAAGTTGTTAAGCAAGTCCAACTTCTTCCATTGATTTTGCCTGTCAGAAACAGGCTGGGAAGGTTGCAGATTGTGATCATGGGACCCAGAAACTGTTGCCAATACCTGCCAATTGCCAAACACTCAGATCACAATCACATGGCCATGGGGATGCTGTGAAAGTCATAACTACAAGGACCGGCCATAAGCCACTTTTTTTTCAGCTCCTTTGTAACTTCAAATAGTTGCTAAATGAATTGTCATAAGTTAAGGACTACCTGTATTCCCTGAAGAGCCCAGCAGTTTTCTGTGAAAAGCTGGCAAGATCTTGCAGTTAGGGAACAGTGGAGTACTGGAACAGAAAGGAATTTAACTACCAATCCTTGTACTTACACAGTCTTTCATATGAGTCCTTTCCAAAGCCTCCCAGATTTGCTCTTCGCTGTACTGTGTGAAAGGATCCAAATTGGATCTAAAGAAGCCAAAATAGAATAGCAAATTAATACCCATTCCCATCAAAATATAATCCATGGAAATTAAACCCTCTTCAAGGGCAATCCTATCTTGTAAGGAGTGAGCAAAAGGAAGGAGAAGCAAGAGCAGAATGGTTAGTTGAATATATGAAGTTACATTGACTGGAATTGCACACAATGAGCACACGTTGGCTAGGGAATTCTGGGAATTGAAGTCCACACACCTTAAAAGTTGCCAAGGTTGAAAAACACGCTTATCAACCTGTTGCATGAACCCAGGCACTACAGGTTGTAAAGAACAACTAATGGTCAATAACGTGAATCTATTCTGGTCTAGCAAATTATGGTTTAAGCACATTCTGTAAAGCCAGTTTCAGAATTATTTATCCCGGTAATCTCATATTCATAATGACTAATGAGCCAATCCCCCCTCTCTCTCTCCCTCCCTCCCTCCCTCTTCATTTCTATCTCTCTCTTCCTCTCTCTCTCTCTCTCCCTCTCTCTTTTCTGTTATACTAACCTCACAGTGCCACTGAAGAGGACTGGCTCCTGGGGGATTATGGAAAGCTTGCTCCGAAGATCTGCCAAGCCAATGTCACTGATTTTCACCCCATCGATTTTAATGCAGCCCCCTGACAATTCCACCAAGCGAAAGAGAGCCATTCCTAAAGAGGATTTTCCTNTTGAATCCCACCACTGCTGCAATGGTCGTAAATGTGAAAATTGTTCATAAGTCACTTTTTTCAGTGCCATAACAGTCACTCAATGAACTGTTATAAGTCTAGGACTACCTGTAGCATTACCGTGAAAAAGCAGACTCAAATGTCTCCTATTCCTTTATTTTAGATAAAGAATTAGAGTTCCTTTAGGAGTGGTGCGATGGCAATCTTCCCCTATCTAAGGGGCTGCCACAAGAAGAGAAGGGAAGAGTCAAGCTATTCTCCAAAGCAAGTCAAGAAGCAATGGATGGAAACTAATCGAGGAAAGAAGCAACCTAGAACTAAGGAGAAATGTCCTGACAGAACAATTACTCATTTGGAGTCACGGGATTACAGAGTCGGAAGGGACCTTGAAGGTCTTCTAATCCAATCCCAACCCCACCCCAGCTCAAGCACCATTTCAGTCAACTGGCTGTCCAATCTTTTCTTAAAATCAAATATTCCAGCTCCATCACTGGCATCTCAGGCAAGATGATTTCCTATGATTAATTGCTCTCCCTATTTCCAGGTTGGATTTCTCCTTGATTAGTTTCCACCCACTGCTTCTTGTTCTTCCTTCAGGCCCTTTGGAGAATAGGTTCCCACACACCCTCTTCTTTGTGGCAGCCCCTCAAATATCGGAAGACTGCTATCATATCACCCCTAGTCCTTCTCTTTGTCAAACTAGACATACACAATTCCTGTGACTGTTTTTCACATTTTTAGCCTCCCCTAATCATCTTTCTTGGTCTTCTCTGCACTCTTTCCAGAGTCTCAACTTCTTTTTTAATATCGTGGCTACCAAATGATTTCTAGGGAAACGTATCATTTTAGAAACGTCCTGGCTAAGACCTTGTTTACATTACAAGGAAGACTGCTTCGATGCCGACTATGAATTGAACCAAATTATCTTGCAACTAATTGCATGTGAGGGGCAGAGTTTTGCCACCCGCTGAGTGGCTCCCGGTTTCTATGGTAACTTGCAGGAGAAAAAGGAAGTTTGCCGCTCGCTCACCTGTCCTTGCATCAGTACCATGATCCGGTCAGAGGCCAGAACCGTATGCAGACGATGAGCGATTGTCAGCCTGGTGCAGTCCGCAAAGGCTTCTCTGATCGTCTCTTGGATTAGTGTATCGGTCTCGTTGTCCATGGCAGCCGTCGCTTCATCCAGGATTAAGATCTGTGGAACACAACATGAACTTTGTTAAAAATGTAGCCATCAACCTTTTCCCGGGACTTCCACAATGACTAAAAGAGAGCAGAACGCAAAATGAAAGGCCTAAAAATGTAGAAAATATGCAAAGGGGCTGAGGAGGGGAGGCATCACGGAACAGAGTTCCTCTCGTTTATCTAATGAAAACTTAATTGTGCTGAGTTGTCCTGCATCGATCTTGGCCATCCTGGAATACGAGTAAGACCTGGATTCTTTGTTTCAAATATGATTGCAATAATTAACCAATTAACCCAATTCATCACTCACCTTACAACGACGCAACAAGGCTCTGGCGATGCAAAGCAACTGCCTCTCCCCGACGGAGAAATTTTCCCCATTTTCCATCACTTCGGATTCAAGTTTCATGGGCAGCTGAGAAATCTTAAGTGAGAACGAAGCAAACAGAACAAGGTCAAATGCGTGGTTCTAAACCAGAGGTGGGGAACGATGGCCCTTTTATGACTTGTGGGCTTGAACTTGAGTCAACGAGAATCAAAACAATAAAGCCCCCTTATAGACACTCAGAGTCACCATATAGGAAGGTAGAGTTAGAGATAAAAAATTAATAAAGATAGATGGATGGATGGATGAATGGATGAATGGAAGGTAGGTAGGTAGGTAGGTAGGTAGGTAGGTAGGTAGGTAGNGGAACTTATTGTTCCTATGTTGTTTTTAAGTCATGTGTTTGTTTCTGTTGATGTGCTTATATGTTTAAAATAAAAATTAATACAAAAAATATATTGTATAAATAAAAACTGCTCAAAAACAAAAAAGTGTTAAGATTGTGGGGGTTTTTTTCTGGTTGCAAGTGAGTAAATTCTTTTAGGAATTTGAGGGACATTTCAGATTTTTACACCATTATTGTTGATGGTACTCACTGTGCTTTTGATTTTTTATCTTTAATTTGTATACTTCTGGAGTATTCTATTATTGGATGGTTGAAGAATATACTGCGGAAATCCAACGGAGCTCAGCAGCAGGAATAGGGAGCATCTTTCTAGAGGCAGGACACTGGAGAAAATATTGGGCAACGGACAGAATGTTTAAATACCTTGATGTAGTGGTCAATTCTTTCCACAGATGTAAAGCGGGCCTCCGTCTCTGAAGCCAACCTGACGGTAAACTGGAACAGTCCCGTTAACTGAGAAGGAAACAAACCACTGTTATTTGCAGCACTGCAGTACATTAACAAATTTATTAACTGTGAAAACTTCAGAGTGATTCTCTGTGGCAGGGGTCCTCGACCCTCAACCCCCGGGATGTGGACCAGTACAGGGCCGCAACATGCCAGAAACCGGTCCGTGCAAACAAGCGAAACCCCGTCCGCAAGGCGCAAGCAGCATACAAAACCACGCCCCTTCCGGCCCGTGGAAAAACCTCTCTCCACGGAACCGGTGCCCAAAAGGTTGGCGGCTTCTGCTCTATGGAGTAACTTAATCCCAGTGAGGGCGGTTAAGAGAGGCTTTCTCATGAACCACGCCACAATAGGAAGGAAAGGAGTGTCATAAAATTCAAGGCTTTCCATTCCTTGTTCGTGGTCAAGTTCCATTAAGTTGCCTCCGTGCAGAAAAACAAGTACCAACAAAAACCATGGTTAATTGTATTCAGCTTACCGCCCCCTCCCACACACCTTATCCCTCCATTTGTAAGCTCTAGTTTTTTTCTTATCCACAGGGCACTTTCTCTTTAATAAGGGATGCTCACTCCACAGTATTATCACTACATATCTTCAGTGTCATACGACTTTGGTGGACAGAGGAGCAAGCAGAGAGGTGCTACTTGTTAAGTCTCTTTAGGTAGTCTTCACTTTATGACCATGACTTTATGCCATAACCATAATGGGCAGACCAAGCCTGCCCGTTAAGGTTATAGCGTGTAAAGATTACAACTTACAACCATAAAGTTGTTGTTAAAGTAGGACAACATAGTTTTTTTCTTTTATGACCCCTTTTTGTGATGGTCATTAAGCGAACCCATAGTTTGCCATGGGTTGTTTTCACTGGAAACTGGAATTGTCAGGTTTCAGCCAAACAGTGGTTAAAATGTGGTCACAAGAAACTGCACGTGGTTGTAAATGCTGCCCGTTTGCCAAGTGCCCAGTGCAGTCCAAGACTGCCGGTGTGCATTTGCGTATCGACGGTCAGAACTTTCAATCCCTAGGACCTACCCCCTAGGTAGGTCCATCATAACTCTGACCGGTTGCTAAGCAACTGGTCTTAAGTTAAGGACTATTGTAATATAAAATCAATTCAACAATGTACTTTGGCTGCCCTGTTCTTCCAAAATGCAACTTTGCTTTGACATGAAAGAGATGCATTGAGGCACGGTGGCGCTGTACAATACTGCAGGCTACCTCTGCTGACTGCCGGCTGCCTGCAATTTGGCAGTTCGAATCCCAACATGTTCAAGGTTGACTCAGCCTCCCATCCTTCCGAGGTGGGTCAAATGAGGACCCGAGTGGTTGGGGGCGAGAGGCTGATGCTGAAAACCGCTTAGAGAGGGCTGTGAAGCACCGTGAAGCGGTATATAAGTTTTAAGCGCTAATGCTATTCACCTGAACGGCATACGAGATGGCGAGCCCAGCGTAGGCGGGCGGGATCTGGCCGTGCATTAAGACGATCATTAAGCCAGTGATTGTAATGAGGGCAGTGCTGACAATATCCAGCCTGACAGCCAGCCAGCGCATCGCACAGCTGAACAAGTAGATGGGAGCCTGGTTATCATCCAGCAGTTGTTGGTATCTATAAGAAAGAGAAAGTATTTAAAATTAAAATACAGATCATCTCCAACTTACAACTGTTCGTTTACTGACTGTCTAGCTACAACACCGGAAAAAAAAATGACCTACGGCCATTTTTCACATTTAATTGATTGTTGCATTTCCCCATGGTCACGTGATCAAAATTCGGACGCTTGGCAACAGGCATGTATTTACGACGGTTGCAGTGTCTCGGGGTTACGTGATCACTTTTGTGACCTTCTGACGAGCAAAGTCACTGGGGAAAGCCAGAGTCAACTCAACAATCACATCACTCACTTAACAACTGCAGTGATTCATTTAACAAGCAAGGAAGGTTGTAAAATGGGATCAAACTCACTTAACAACTGCCTCGCTTAGCAATGGAACTCTGGGCCTCTGCTGTGGTCGTAAGTCGAGGACCACCTGCATTTCATTTTTAACTTGAATTGGAGAAGAAATTTCACAAAACCCGATTCGTGTGACTGCTAGCAAATTCAGATTTGCAGCATGTGAACCAATTCATCTGAAATGTTAAACCCAAATTGCCGCTTACTATTTCTAGGTCAGTGTGATCCGTGAACTCGCATCATGAGTGAATTCAGCCACTGAGGCTTGTGCAATAAACCCAACCTTTAAAAATCCTGGCTTGTCTGTCTTGCAGCAGCTCAGACTGAATGTCAGAGAAGAAACAGCACTAACTTGTATAGGAATTCCTCTCCTTTATTGTAGGCATGGATGGTAGAGAGACCTTGAATGCTCGAAGTGATGTGAGAAAGAAATGGAGACTGAGTTATGTTGTCCAGTCGTTTCAATTCCCGAATGAAGACTCTGCGAACAAAAATTGCAGCCAACTGTAAGTAAGAGGTCTCACAAAATTATGAGAATAACAAGGCCTTTGATGCTTTAAAAAGGTAAAGGTTCCCCTTGCACATACTATGTGCTAGTCGTTCCGGGTTCTAGGGGGCGGTGCTCATCTCTGTTTCAAAGCCGAAGAGCCAGCGCTGTCCGAAGACATCTCCGTGGTCATGTGGCCGGCATGACTCGACGCCGAAAGCGCGTGGAACGCTATTACCTTCCCACCAAAGGTGGTTCCTATTTTTCTACTTGCATCTTTACATGCTTTCGAACTGCTAGAAGCTGGGACAAGTAACGGGAGCTCACTCCGTTACGCGGTGCTAGGGATTCGAACCGTCAAACTGCTGACCTTTCTGATCGACAAGCTCAGCGTCTTAGCCACTGAGCCACCATTTTAGGCAGCCGAATTGGGTTTGGAAGCAGCTGGCGTCCAATGAAGTTATCCCAACACCAAGTTATGGAAGAGCCTCAAGGCTAGCAATGTCTTAAAAGGAGCTGGAATGATTGTTGCTCTTACCTGGACACAACATGCAGAATGGTGAAAAGAACCACCAGGGGCCCCACTGCCATTAGGAACCATGGGAAGACACCAGAGATCACTCCCACGCAGAAGAACACCAGGATGACATTCTGTATGAACATTTCAGCTTGAAAAGGCAGGCGGACATCCACTGGAAGAGAAGGACAGACACAGCGGATTAGGATAGGCTACAATTCTCACCAACGTGAACAATAGAGAGAGCGATGTTAAGTGTAACGGTGAAGATGCTGGCCTAGAAACCAAGAGAGTTTGAATTCTAGGTCTCACCTAGACCTGAAAACCACTGGGTGACTTTGGGGCACTCACCAGGAGAGTGTGAGTTCTAGTCTCACCTTAGCCATGAAAGCTGGTTAGGTAACTTTGTTGTTGTTTTTAAGTTTTTTATTAGATAAACATTAAAAACATTGGACATGGTGCAACATTTCTGGCATAAAAGTTTCCATATAGCGATTAGATCTTACAACAATTACATTTGATATCCATTACATAGGTGTATGTAGTCAGATTACCTGTCCATTGATCCTTTCTTTTATATAATTACTAATCATACAAATACATATCCAATTCCTACCTATTACACATTCTTAATACCATATTTTCCCATTCTTAACTTGTCTGTGTTTTTCTTTCCTCGCTTTTTCCCTTCATTTCTAGAAAGCTGATTAGGAAACTTTGGACTAATCACTAGGAAGCCTTGATCACTATTCCTACGTTAGACATGAAAGCCAGTCACTCTCTCAGCTCAACCCACATCACAGGGTTGTTGTTGCGGGGGGGGGGGGGGGGGGAAGAAGTATTAGGTTCGTTTCCCATCTCTAGATATGTATGTAAAAGTGGGATAAAATATAACAAGAATATCCTATATATATATACACAATGTGTCAGTGTTCCAAGTATCATGTAGAATTAAATCAGAGTCCAAGGCAAATCGATCCTTAAAAGTTCCAATTTAATAAATCAGACATCTTAGCACATCTGTATAATCCCAATTCTGGAAATTACATCAGAATTCCACCCAGTTAAAAGTTCATGATCTTG